CCTGCCGGTACAGGTTAAATCCGTCAATGGACACTAACGCGTCAGCAACATGAGGGTTCAGCCAAGATTCTTGTATACAAATCAGACTAGTATGAACGTGAATCCGGGAACGGAGAACAAGTGATAAATCCGAGATTTTCGTGAACACTGAACGTATGTTCGTACTCCGTAGTGATGGGACGGACATTTTGACGGAGGGGTGCAGTTAACAGCAACTTGCCATCCGGCCCGGTTGTGCTTTTTGTGTGAATTCCGAAATCCGAGAGAATTGAGTGTGGTTGAATCAAATTGTGATGTGAATCCGTTAGGGTGTTTGAGTAGAAGTATTTCCGATCGACGAACAAATGCCATAATAATGACAAAAAGAACCTTCAAATTTGATGAGATGTGATAACACGAGATTGTAGCGCAACCAGTCAAAGGGCGCGCGTAGTTTCCATCGTCATCGTTACTGTAAGATACTACTCACGTTTGTGAGTAGTATCTTGGGTACGCGCACAAAGAGACGATTAGGGGATTGTCATGGTATCTGAGAGTGAATTAAAGGATTTGTTAGTGTAACTGTGAAAGAGATGAACAGACTGTCGGGCTGATGAGATGCTTCGTCCTGCATAATCCTATGTACCTCCGCAGTCCGGTACTGCCCTTAGGAATTATAACAGTTTTGGTACAGATTTACATACCCAGATGTATACTACGATGTTGTGAAACTCGAATTTGCCCGTGTATATTTACGCTTAGAAGCCTTGGAGGATGCTGCATACTTCTTGCCATTCCCTGTACAGAATAAATCCGGTTGGAGTGTATTTTACAATCACTTTGGGTGTCTTGGGTCGTGGCCTGGTCATTCTTCCCCTTGCACCTTGCGAAATGTTCCTATATGGTCAAGGGTCTCAAATAGCCTCTGGCTGAAGAATCCCTGTTGACTGCCTCTTGTTGGTGAAGGTTTTTCTCCCGTCAAAGCGAGAGGACGAAAAGCCGATATCCGGGGCTATAACCGGATCAATGTGTCCTCCAGTTCACATGTGCAATTCAACGATGTGTATTTATCTCGATAGTTAAACACTCTCTCCCTCTCTATAGGCGACACACTTGCTGGCTCACATTAGCACAAAGGTGTGGTTTTCAACACCGACATTTTATAATGTATGCACACATTTGTTTGATCTTTCTGTTCCGTTAGTGTTGCCATCCGGTTGACCATTATACTTGGTTACGTCAACTGATGACTTGTTTGTGACACAACAACAACAACAAAAACACCTCAACTATCCCGTTGTATCTTTCCCTGCCCCTCATCTTTCTGCTGAGTGCAGTCTTTGGAAATCAACGGTCTCCAATTCTCTCCCGCCTCGTCGAAAACCCGGGCCACGTTAATCGAACATTTTCCCTACCTGAAAGACATGAATATTGCTCCGCTTGATATACAGGGTCCCCGATTAAAATATCGCGCTTCAAATCTCATGTTCACTCCGGGTAGTGCGTTTGGATCCAGTCATACGGTGACAATTATCGGCGCCAATCTGTACGGCTTCGCTCGGGTTTCAACGTTTGTCAATGTTCTACGTGAGTACTTTCACTTGTTGATCATATTTTTTGTGTTCATCAACTTTTGTTGTCTCGTGGCCCTTTTCTTATGCTCAGATGAACGAGGTACTATGCCCAAAACAAGCTTGCAAAGCTGACATGTGATACATCGTTTATGAGAAAAATTAAAAACAGTCTGATCAGGTAGCTGCTCGTTGGTCGTATTGGTAGTAGTATCCTTGCGCTCTACCTGTGAAATCCTGTATTCGATCCCCAATGAGGTTGATGGGTTTGCATTGCTTATGAAACCCAACTAGGTCAAAACAGCTATCCAGTTCACGCCTCGTTTGCTCTTTACACAACGAAATTCACTACCTAATCAAATCAAATCCTCCACCACTATCATGATGCGTTTTTCATTGTGAAACAAATGTAAACGGTCTTTCCAAACGCAGTTTTCTACCAAATATCATCAATGTAATATCTCCCATCCCCCGATAGACTAATATCGATGCATCAACTTTCAATGAGCACCTTAGGAATGAGTATACTTTCTTGTTTGACACTACCTAGGGTGCAGTTCAAATGTAGGAGGAAGCTCTATGATTTATCATAGAGACTTATGGAGCATTCCTGGTCGGGGATAGAACATGACTGAGATGGTATTTATTAGAAGAAGAAGAAAAAATGCACTGAAGAAGCCCTACTCACTGCGTTTCCCTTGGCTGGCGTTTTCCCATAACAATATGAGAGAACGAAAAGCCGACATCGGGTTGGTAGATCACCGGTAGTTCACACCTAGGGAAGTTGACTAGAAACCCTGATTCCGAACCAACCAAGAGGAGGCGCACGAACCACCCACACCTTCCCGATTGTGGCAGTGGTCACCAGCTAGATTGAGTATCGAAGTGTATTGGGCACCGTGGAAGTCTAACCCCGTCCGAAGGGCGTATGACCCGATAAACTGGACACCGGCTCCCAATAGATTGCGGTCTTCACACACCGCCCCGCTGCCTTGTGAATCAGGCTTTGGGACCTTACATAGTAATTTTCTGATGTGAGGATAACAGAACAGCTATCAAGTTAGTGGCCTGATGTGAATGGGGTGAGCTCAGGCCCACTGAGGGAATGGACGCGAACGAATAACGGTAGCACCCCAGGACGTGGTGAAATTACACCTAACAAGCTTAATCTCCCCCAAAATTCTACGAGAATAGTACAATAAACCAAATGTACTCTGCACATGTTTTTGTGACGACTTCTTTGTGGGGCATTGTAATACGAGACCGTTAGGGCTAAGAGAAGTACACCATCTAATTGATAGGTATCTAACTATCAACACGGTTCCCGGAGGTTGTGTATATATTTGTACGTGATCTGTGCTGGTGATTCTCCGTTTTGATCAACGGTGTGTGTGTGTGTGTATCCGTGTTGTGCTCAATCCTTCACTGGACTACATCATTGTACTATGCAAATCCTTTTTTTCACTTGTAGCCCAACCAAAAGTTTTGGACTCACCCACTCGATATCATTGCATCAAACCGTGTCTGAGCAGCGTGGAACATGAATACGATTGTAAATTCGACTTGACCCGTTACCAAATGGCCCGAGTCGAACAGACCTGGGACCTGAATGGTTTGGATTTGTCCAAACTGCACGAAGATGCCGACGACCGTGCACACTATCTGGTCACCGAAGGGACCAAAGTGAGTTTTTAATTAACAGGTACATGCTTTTCCTGTCGGTTTGTCATACAATTGATCGTGTGTGGAAGTTCTCCAGTGAGAGGTATTGACTTATATTACTTACTTTGTGGTGACTGGCTCCTGGAAGAGAATAAGCCGACTTCATGGATATTCCATGAAATTTCTTGGGAGTTGGATACACGAAACGCACCCGGATTTAGGTCGAAGTAACATCTCTAGCTTTTTCACATCTAAGTGATAACTGCAAGATAGCACATGGTTGCCATTGGCCCCCTAGGAGTGGCTCATACGCCAGTTTCTAGCTAAACTGGGGTGCATGCATCCCTGGTGAGTACGGGGTCACTGCCTTGATCGTTGAGTTGTGTAAGCGATTTCGTCCGCCCAACGCGCTGGTGCCGTATTCATTCGCTAAACACCGACTAACCGGGAGTTGAGCTCCTGGTTTGGCCCACTTGTCGAGCAGTTTACCGGCATATGGCCGCTGTTGCATCCAGACAGCTTCTTGGAGCCACAGTGGAAAGCTAAGTACCTGTTAAAGACCAAAGAACATAGGATGCCCCAAAGGGGCTGACAACCCTCCGAGTGAGGGGTGCTGCTCCTACCAGGTACCCATACACATCCTGGGTTATTGACCATGCAATGTTGGCGCAATTTTAAATATGGAAATCACCTCAGCGCGTAATACCGTGCCTTGTATTTTTAACCATGTGTTTTTCGTGTTTAATTTTTGCCAGAAATTTTTTTTCTGACGAACTGAATATTTGTGCAGTACACATGCCATTGATCAACGATACGCGTGTCCAGTTTTCTTCAGTGTGAACAACCATTAACCACGCATATTCGTGCGTCGGTTTTGGTTGCTGTCTTTTGGCTGCCCATTTGGATGAAGAATAGGAGAAGAAAGGAAAGTTGAAAGTGGAGTCGAAAAGAAAATGGAGAAGTTCAATGGTCTAAGGTTGCAAAGAGATTGAGAAGATGCACGAACGCCACTGGTTGCGACATCCATCCATATCACTATCTCTAACCATCGGTTACGNATCCCGAGGTCCCCAGCCAGGGAGCCTAACAGGACCTATGTGACCCAGTTTCCTGGTTAGGGTTTTCATACCCTCAAGCCAGGTCTTAGTTTGACCACCCTTGACTTTTTTCACTCGGTGTCTGCTTCGGCGAACGTCGCTCGCCGTGGTAACCTATCCGGTGACATGCGTAACACGTCCCAGCCAACGTTATCTATGGAGGTCGACCACTTGCTCCAGTGGGCGACCGCATTTACCCAAAACTCAGCATCTAACCTCAGCATTGCTCATCCGGCCAGTCTTGTAGCAACATTTTACACTGTGAAGGTGCAAAACGCATACCGAATATGGCTACACTGGCATTCAACTTATCCATGCTTGCAACTTTCTTAGATCTTCACTTAGTAGCACAATGTCGTCTGCATACTGTAGATCAGACAGCCTCCCACCTGGAAGTAAATCAATGCCACTATCCTTGCACGGGGATAGGGCTGTTTCCATAATTAGATCTATAACAAAGTTGAATGGAAATAGCG